TAAAATTTCGTGTGGGTATAGCCTCAAGTCACACAGAGAGTGATGCATTATGAGGCAATAACATTTCTGTGACTCTCTGAATACTCACCTGCAGCAAGAGTCCTACTGCATTCCACAAGGATTGATTGAAAAATCCTTTCTGGTCTGACAGCAGGATAGCAGTGGCTTTGTTTGTCAGAGTGAGTTGCCTCCTTACTAGGTAACAAGTCATTCACCCAAGACAAAGAAGCTGTCAGTCAGAGGGAAGCTTTTATGGAGACATCAACACCAGAGACATATGATGCAGCTTAGCATACTGCCATCCCACGATGGGTCTTTTCTAACTCGCTGCTATAACAAGTCGTTCTTTTACCTCATGTCACCCACCCTTTAGTGAATTCAATTTGAAGGTGATGATATCCAAGATTTAGAGGGCAGAAATAAAGAAATCTGTAAATGTCTCTAACTAATGTCCTTTTGGAAAGACTTTCTTGGATTTTCTTTAAAACCCCAAATTTTATTTAGATCGGTAATTGCTTCACTTTGAAGATCAGAGTATGAAAATGTTCACCATACACTTGCATTTGTCTCCCCGAAATCAGTGTATCTTATTCATTACTCATGCCTCAATCAAGTGCAGTGTCTAAGACATGCTAAGTACCCAATAAGCAATTTTGAGTTGCATTAAATTGTGGTGGTCCTGATTTTGAGGTCAAATTCCTTTACTTATGCAAACTAATATTATAGTCTTATGTATAATTTCTTACTATCTCCTGTCTTTTGATTTTAACATTTAATATTTACCTAATATATTTTTAAGCTTTTAAAAATTGAATAACATCTAAAACCACCCTTTCTAAGAGCAGGCCAAATAGCTCAGCAAACGAAAACGCCTGCTTAGACAGACATAGGGACCAGGGTTTGATCCCCATTGTGCCCTGCCAGGCATGCTGAGTGGTGATTGAGACTGGGCGTGGTGGTGCGTGCCTATAATCTCAGCTCTTGGGAGGCTGAAAACAGGAGGATCACTATGAGTCCAGTCTGTGTAGTAAGATCTTGTAGTCCCTGTACTAAAATACATTTTAAAAAATAAATAAAATCACCCTTTTTACTGTATAGACATATGAGTTTCATTAAATGCCTACAGTGGTGTAACTACCAATCAGTTAAGGTAAACAATGGGAATATCAGTTCAAAACACTCTTCTGTGCTTTTTTATTGTCACTGAATTGTGTCTATTAACCTGATTTGTGTGTGAGTTTAAGTTTTCACTGTATCTCAGGAAGTATTATTAAGTGGAATTGTTGAATCATGTGGAGAACATATACTTAACATATTAACTTTGTCTCTCTGTATGAAAAAGAAAATGTCTGCCAAGCTTTTCCAGGGCAACTATTTCATTTTCTCTCCCGGCCAGCCATATAATAGAGTTCCAGTTTCTCCAGACTCTAACTATTATTTGATATTGTCAGCTGTTGTTTTCCTGCAGTCATTCTAGTGGGCAGGTAGTGATCCAGCAAATTTCTATATGTGAATTGTTCAGCAGATGGTGAGAGAAAAAGAGAAAACACCCAGATTCATTTATTATATTGAATTTTATAACAATAACCAACAATACTGTACAGAGGGTGCCTGTTGGTATGAGCATTAAACAAAATGTCACTGTCAATTCACTTTCCTGGAGGAAGAAACTTGAACATGGAGTTTCTAACCCAAAATCACATGAAGCATTGAAAAATACAATATGCCTTTTAAAAAAATACACCATTCCTAATGTAGTAAAAGAAAATATTTAATAAATAAATATTGAACTTCTTTTTTAAAACTTCATTTTCTTCAGTTTCTAAAATGGGTACATTATTTTTAAAAAGGAGTCATTTTAAAATACAAGATAAAGTCAAAACTAGAACTAAAAATGAAAGTGAAAAACTAGAAAAATTAAAGAATACTATGAAGAAATGAGAAACAAAAGAGAACTAGAAAGAAAATATTAGCAAAATATGTAAATTACTAAAGATTTTTATTTGGAATAAAGTACTCCTACAATTGACTATTAAAGTACTCCCAAATGACTAGATGATTTGCACAGAAACTTCACTGAAGGGTTCACATGAATGCCAAAATAAGCACAGGAGATTTTTTTTTTTCAGTACCAGGGATTGAACTCAGGACCCTGCACTTGCCAGCAGGTGCTTATTCTACTGAGCTATCTCCCCAGCCCAAACACAGAAAAAGATAATTGATATAGTCATTAGGAAAATGCACAAAACTAAATTGTCAAAATTAAGAAAACCAGAAATTTCAAAGGTTGCAAAGATATGGGACAAATGCAACTTCTACAGATTGATAATTGCAATGTGAAATGGTCACACCACTCTCAAGCAGCCTGACGGTTTCTTATACTTTAAGCATATACTTACCATATAACTCAGTACTTCAAAACAGATACACTTACCCAATCTAATAAAGACTTGTGGGTGAAGAGCAGCTCCACTCTCTATGTAATCTATGGAACTAGAACCAAACCAAGCTTCCTTCATATTGATAGATAAGCATGTTGTACAATATTCATATGGAAAACCACTCAGTAGTAAAAAAACACAAGCCTGATACCTACAGCAACCTGAGGCCCCTGCAAAACATTACAATAAGCAAAATTATATTTTTTATTTTTTAAGTGTATCAGTTATTTGATTAGGTTCTTAGTAAGAAATTTAGAACACTAATTTGTGAGGATAAATTCCATTTGTCAGAGCAAAAACAGACAGCAATTGGCACCAGAGCTGAGGAACACCTTTGATTTTTGCCAAAATCTGTGAGTCCACCGCTTTCTGATCCACCTTGCACAGCTCTTAAATCTGGTATCTCTCTTTCTCTGTGTCAAAGATCTCACCCTCCTGGTGCCTGGATTTCTGCAGCTTCTTCTTCTCAAAGTAAGCATCAGTGAAGCATTTGGGGATTTTTACATTGCTGGTATCAATTTTTGTAGAGGCAGCAATGACAAATTTCTGGTGTGTTCTTCATAGAGGAACATGATTAAGGCTAAGAGGCCCAGTCACAAGTAGCAAGCCACTGGCCAACTGCTTCAGAAAGACCACTCTCTTGCCTCTGTGACACCTGGTGAGGATCATCAAGATGGTGCTGGGAGTGATGCTAGCTCGAAGTTTCCTCACATGCTGACTGAAGGGTTTCTTACTGTGGCCCAAGAGCTTTCAGGGCACATCTTCAGTAGGGTAGTACCTAGGCATTTTTTGAAGCTTAACCACCCGGGTACCTCCATTCTTGTCCTCACCGATGAGCTTTGTAATTGTAGCAAGAACTTTCTCCTTTTTCTTCTCAACCTTTGATTTAGCAGCTGTGTACTTTCTCTTGTACAAAGCCTTTCTGGAACACATAGCAGATCGGGTGTATCTACCAATTCCTTTAACCAGGACAGGATTTCAGCTGCAATGGGGCTGCCCCTCCTTGGATTTTTTTTGCCTTCATCTTACCCTTTTTACCAGTACTATTGGCAGAAGCTTTCTTGGCTTTGAGTTTCTTCTCTTTAGTGTCTGGCTTCTCAGTTTTTTCACCTGTCATCTTGCAAGATGGGGAAGAGAACTAACTGCAAAATTTTTTAAAAAGGGAAAACTGTAGTGACTGAAAATTGAGCATTGGTTCCCAGAGTTCAGGAATCAGGAAGGGATTGACCAAAATCAGTCAGAAGAGAACTCTTTAATGCGATGGAACTGTTCTCTATCTTAATAGCTGCAGTAGTTACGTGACTGCATACATTTATGACAGTTTATAAAGTCATATTTTAAATTACAAAGAGTATTATATATAAATTATACCTCAATAAGGCTAATATTTTTAAAAGTAAAATACAAGCATCAACGTCAATGTGAAAATGGAAATGTTACATTGTTGGTGGTAAGGAGTATAAGTTGAAATAGTAAGGTTTTGGACAGAAACTTGGCAAAATCTAGTGAAACTGGCAATGTTGGTAGCTCATGGGTCAGCAGTAATAGTACTTTGTGTTCTCTCCAAGCCATCCTAGATCTGTATATGGTGAGATTTGTTTTAAGAATGTATGACCTATAAGCATCCACATAGATCTCAAAAATACAATTTGTTAAACAGAGAGATTAAAAACCAGTGCATACAACACGAAGTTTGTAAAGTTTGAGAATTATAGAACATAATTAATATTATCCTGGAAACTTGTCAGTGTAATATACACTGTATATTACACTTACAAGTATAGGTAATATAACCTACAACTTTAGGATGCAGACTACTCCTTATGAGGAAGGAAAATAAAGTTAAAGATGTATATAAATATATTTCATTATACATATTACTCCTAAAAGTATTTTAAAACTTTATGACACTATTCTATAAATTGCTATTTATAATACATTATTATTAGAGGGTGTTTGTATCTGTCTTTTATCCTTACATGTACCTTAGATATACTTCTTTTTAAAATAAATAATAATTTTTAAACTACTTTTAGCCAAAGAGCATAATGAAGTTTATAATCAAGAAGAGATTCTATATTGAAAAGTAGAGTTATAGTTGAGCAATTTGAAAATTACATTTTAAAATCTTTAAATAAATCAAGAAGATAGCATCCATAAAACAGACAAGGAGCTTATAAAACAAAAACAAGAGAAACCATAACTTAGAATTTTGGGGGGTTTCCTTGAATACATTTTTGAGTTTTATTGAAATCTTACATGAACAAGAAATTGGAAATACAATCACATGAAATAATAAATTGTCACGGCTTTGATGTTTAGCCAAACAAATTTGTAGGGCAGATTTCAAAAAGGTTGTGAAGTTATAACAATTTAAAAACACAGTTAACCTACTTCTAGGAATGCAAAACATACAGTCATAGGTTATTTTCAATACAAGAAAACTTAAATTTGTTTACTTTAATTTCTTAAAACTACTAAGACAAAGCACTAGCTTATATTTTTATTGACAGCATACTTCATACTCCTATATAATCTATCCCAACCCCCCCCAAAAAACTGTCCAAACCAAAGGTTCTGCAAAACTACGATTTAACAACTTGTTCTGAAACTAAAATGGAGCTTGAAATGATAAAAGCATTGTAACCCCCAAAATAAGAGAACTCTGCAAGCCCAATAATGTTCAAGAGCATTTATGAAAAGAAAAATAAAAAGACTTAAGTATATACACAATAGTGATTCTTCAGCCCCATACAAATGGCAGCGAAGTGCTACTTAAAGATGAAACAGTTAAGTCAATTTTTTTTTTGAAGAATGTAGATACAGAGCCAATCGTATCTTGACAGAATCATTTTCAAGCCCTCACTTTTCTATTTTCACTGTTGCCCATAAGTATCCTGATAAAATTCCTGGTTGTCATTATTGTAACCATAGTTACCAGAATAGTCACCACCTTGCTGAAGCAGCTGCTGAGTGATGGGTTGTGAACCCCAGTTCTGTTGGTTATTGGTCTGACAACACTTGGAATAAGGTTGGCTGTACCAATCTGCCTTTCTCTTGCTTCCTACATTGTCCCCATGATTGCCCTGAGCTCCACGGGAACCATGGCCTCTCTGCTGTTGTGCAGGACCACCTCTGCCACTCCTAGAGCCTGTTGACAATCCCAAAGGCGGCCCTCTCTGTGAATAGCCAGCTCTACCTCTTGGCAGTGGTGCTCCCTGCACCCTTGGTGGTGGTAGAGCACCTCACTCTCCCCTTCCTCCTCCTCTTCCTCTTACTGCATAGCCATCATCATAGCTATAGTAGGGATCTTCTTAGCCTCCACAACAGTCATGATAATCATAACCATAGTAATCATCATAGTAATTTTCATAGCCATAGTAATCTGGAGGGTAGACATATCCACCTTTACCTCCACCATGACCTTGACCTCTAATTGGAGGTGGCATTCGAGGAGGAGGGTGATAGTAGTAATCTTCATGCATAATACTTCTGGAGGCCTGACCAGCTGCTTATTGCTCTTTCTTTTTCTTGTCTGGGGGTTTAGGTAAGACTTTCAATTTTTCCCCTTCTCCTTCTTTTCCATCCATTTCATTCATTGCTCCTTTGTCTTCAAAATGAACAAATGCATAATCTTTCAACTTCTTTGCTCTTTCTGGTTTTCCAAATTCAGAAAATTACTTATCCAATATTTCTTCTGTCACTGTAGTGGCCAAGTTTCTCACAAATAAAACTTTCACCTTAGCCATGACGTCTGGATCTGGTTCTTCCACAGGGTCAGCCCATTCATCTGTAACTACATTTCCCCATACTTGTACTTCTTCACTCATCAGCTGACATCTGGCTTGTGCTGCTGACTTGTGATCCTCATATTCAAGGAAGCAGAACCCCTGATTCTTCTTTTGGTCATCGGGTTGATGACACAGAATAACGTCCACCAAACCCTCTGTTAAACCTGTGACTTTACTGAATTCTTTAGAATGTTTTCCTTAGTCTTATTCTATAGGATGGATCCAACGAAAAGTCTGTTGTTTGCAACAGAAATACACACTCCAAGGTGTTTCCCAGAGTGAATTTTATAATTGTCACACAGTTTAACAGCTTCCTGTGCAGCTTCCTTTCCACTGAAGGTGACAAATACATACCCTCAGTTCTGACCAGACAGTGGATCCATCATAAGGCATAGATCCCAAATGGGGCCAGCTTTTTCAAAAAGGGGAACCCACTCATTCTCATATAGATCCCTTGGCATTTTACCTACAAAGACTTCTGTTCCAATTCCACACCAGAGTACATGCTGTCTGGTGGAGGACCACCACACTTCTTTGTCCTGTTGTTACATCTGGAGTGTAACCAGTCCTTTCATGTAAGACCTTGATCTTTGCTTCATCAGGTCCCTCTGTGGACTCTTGCACTTTGTTGCCCTGTTTCTCTCTTTGCCTGTAGGGCTTCATAACTCCACATAAAAATGAGCTTTTGTTCTGAACATGAGAAAGGTCGTTTTCCTTGACCTGCTGCAGCACAGACGGAGCTCCTTCTTCATTAAACTCCTGAGATCATCAATTGCTACTTCATCAAGATCGACATAAGCTACCAATACTGTCCGAAATATTTCATCGTCTTTCCACCACCTTCTGTGGGAGACCTGCCTCTATCAGTATCTTGTAGTGTTCTGTGTGAGTTACACTGGAAGCATCCACTGGTTCTTCCTCTTCTTTTAACTGTACCACATTACCATTCACCTGATTAGCCATTTTATCATGCTGCAGGGAAAAGCTGGAGCCAGTGGCCCGGCCTGTGAGAATCAGCACAAGGCACTTTGAAAACGACTAGAAATGTTGTGCCTAGAGTTTCTTAACTGCAGTGGGGAATATGGTCACTAGAATACCAAAGCTAATTCTCAGTAGGTGACTTGTTCAAAATTATTCAATGAAGAAATTATAAGCAAAAGTTAAGTACATCTCAGTTAACATAGTAGAGAAATATAAAGAGATGAAATTATGAAAAATAACTATCACACATATTTGATTTATTTAGCTATTTCAAGGTATTTGTAATAGAACTTTCAAGAGAAAGAAAAGGGGCTGGTGATTTAGTTCAGCAGTAGAACACTTGCCTAGCAAGCTGGAAGCCCTAGGTTCAGTCCTTGGCACCAAAAACAAAAAACAAACCTTAACTAAGAGAAGTAAAGGTTAAGAATTTTCTAGAATTAGAGAAAAATTTAAGTCTTCAGATATTTACATAATATAACAAACAAATGGATCCAATTTATGCAGAATTCAAGCACCTAGAGTATTTAAATGACAAAGGAATGCCCTTCTCTGACATAACTAATCAAAAAAGCAGGATAGAAATGAACAACCCTTTTGTATCTGTATACTCAAAACAAAATAGATATACAGCTCCACTCTTTTAATTCAATGAATAAAGAGGTTTGTTCTAATAGTGTTTGAGACAGGATATCATGTCTGCATCTTGTATAATGAATAATCACTAAGACAACAATATGCAATGTATTAATTACTGAAAATGTGCCAATAATCGGTTGTGAAACTGTCTCATTGATATTTGTTTCTCAATAAAATTATTTTAAAAATTAATTTACTTTCATATGTCCTATAATAAAATTTATAAACATAAATTACAAAAAATGAACTAAAGAAGGAAAGGAAAGATTACCATGGAGTCACTGCCCAAAAGACTGTCATGGAGATTTGGTGAGCCCTACCTACCCCTCTCACCCTCACTGGTGTTCAGCTGACCTATGACCATCTCTCCCACCATCACTGTTACCATAGCTCTACTGAGCTGTGGCTGCCTTTCCCACTGGAAACAGGAGTCTTGGGGAGCTCTATCTTGCACCCACCCACCACCGAGAGAGTCTTGCAGAACTTCAGCCCGCCCTCATCATCATGGGTCCTCCCTGAACTGTAGCTTCCCCCCTCCTTACTGAGGGCAAGCTACACTGAACTCCCCACACTGAGAGCTTTAGTGAGCCTACTCTGCCCTCCCACTCTCCTGAGAGCCTTGCTCACCCACACCCTGCACCCTACCATTGCTACAGAATCAAGGAGAATATTGGGAGCTTCAAAAAGGACAAAAGGAAGGAACAAAGGCCAACTCAGACCTCCAGTCCACCCAAAACAAGCTCAGGAGACAAGATCACAAAAGAACTTGAAAGTTACACACCTGAAATTTCTGAAATAATAGCAACTGAAGTAAAGAAACAACTCCATCAGGCTACGGAGGAAATCAGATCAGAAATAATCTCTCAGGTAAAAGGAAATGACAACAATTATGAAATAATTGCTCAATACTTCTGAGGAAGACATAGATTAAAAAAATAGGAGTATGAAAATGATGGAAACAGTAAGTGAACAATACAAGAAAGAACCAGAATATGTGAAACAGAGTCAAACAGATATGCAGGACATTAAGAATTCCGATGAAAGCTGGCAAAACTGCTGGAATGAAGATGAAGATGGAATATCAGATCTTGAAGATAGCATGGCAGCTAGTGAACACAAAAGGAATGATCTCTTAAAAATAGCAAGGAACCAGGAAATAACAAACAGCTGCAAGATGAGGCAAAGAAAAATAATGTAAGACTAATAGGTATCAACAAAACAGCAGAAGTCAACATAAATGAGAAAATTAGAAAAAATTATAGCTGACTATCCCTCAGACAAAGCACTCCTATCTATAACATATAAAGAATTCTTAAAATTTAGGCCTCCAAAACTCAAAGACCCAATCCAAAAATGGACATTCCATATGAATACACACTTGACAAATGAAGAAATATGATGGGTACATAAACATATGAAAAGATGTTAAACATCATTGGTCATTCAAGTGATATAAATTAAAGAGTACTATAAAGAATGACAAGTAGGTGACAAGAGCATAGAATTTGTGCTGCCAAAAGTGTGAAAATGATGGAAACAGTGAATGAACAATACAGGAAAGAACCAGAATACGTGAAACAGAGTCAAACAGATATGCAGGACCTTAAGAATTCCGATGAAAGCTGGCAAAACTACTGGAATGACATTTCCTTTTTATGATGAAAGATAACTTCTCATCAGCAACAAGTGATGCAGGACAATAGGAAACATCTTCATACTGTGGAGAGAAACATCTAGAATTCTCTACTCTATTTAATTAGAAGAGGTGGAATAATGATAGTTCCTGGTACCTAAGAGAGAATTGTTACCCAGAAATCTCTGAAAGATTTACCATTAAGGAAGATATTTTTTTAAAAAATAGAAAATATCCTGAAGGTATGGATGTAATAAAAGAAAAAGTAATCAAAAAATAAGTTGGAGGGGCTGGTGAGATGGCTCAGTGGTCTAAAGCACCTACT